AATTGAAGTACAAAATACTCGCTCGCCATGTCATAATTGTCCTTAGGTTTCCAAGCAGTATACATAACACATGACTGGCGTGCGATGACGTAATATGGCTGCGCTATGAGCCGACCACATAACTCTTATTATACCTACATTCACGGATAATCTCTTTTGGAATTTCGTTTCCATTATCTCATGTGGATTATTATGGGACCACGTATGCACATTTCGTAAATTATTTACACCGTCCAGGGTAAAAGACGCCTCATCACTACACATGACACATGAATGGCAAGCGCTGGTGTAACATGACTGACTGCATATTCTGCTATAAGCCAACTACATAAGTATTAAAATACAGTACCTGCTTTATAGTAATTGTTCAAAGTGTCCTCCGCCAGCTGCAATGCAGTTTTCGGCACGCATCATGAGGGATTGGGTAGCAGAAGCAATGTTGCCTGAATGGTGACGTATGTGCTCTGCCGCTGCAAAAATACGATTCCGCAGTGCTTCTCGGGAATCGACCTTAGTTTCGTAGACTAAGGTCTTCATGTGGCCCCAGAGGTAATAATCTAGAGGCGTAAGATCTGGCGACCTCGGTGGCCATGCAATGGGACCACCACGACCTATCCAGCGGTTAGGGAAGGATTCATCTAAGTAGTGTCTCACGTGCTGAGTATAATGTGGAGGAGCCCCATCATGTTGGAAGTACATTTTCCTCCTTATCGTTAACGGGATGTCTTCCAACAAACATGGTAACTCATTCCTTAGGAAGGCTCCATACGTGTTTCCAGTTAAATTGTTGTGAAACACAAAAGGTCCGATCAACCTGTTCCCAAGCACACCACACCATACATTCACAGAAAATCTCTTTTGGAATTTCGTTTCCATTATCTCATGTGGATTATTATGGGACCACGTATGAATATTTCGTAAATTATTTACACCGTCCCGGGTAAACGACGCCTCATCACTGAATAAAATGACGCTTAACAGTTCGGGATGAGCTTTTATCCAGTGGCAGAAATCCATACGCTGAGCATGGTCGCCTGGTTCCAGATGTTGTACCCTTTGATCATGGTAAGGATACAGGTCTTCGTCATGTAAAGTTCGCCACACCTGCATACGTGATACGCCGATGCGAGAGGCCATTCTACGAGTGGAGAGACGCGGACTTCTATCAATCATGCGAAGAATGTTCTCTCGTGTGTTTCTCATTTGTACATCCTCCCTTTCCGACTGCACAGAAACACTCGGAAGAGAACCAGTCTCACGCAATGTCTGGTGAATTCGCGTAAATACACTTCGAGATGGAATCCTTCGATCGGGAAAACGCCTTTGGTACTCTTCAACAGCAGCACGTGCATTGCCACCGCAAAATCCATACACAAAATGCATATCACAATACTCGACGTGTGAAAACACAAAAGGCATTTCAGCAACTCATCACACAACTAATTTACCACCCATTCACGACCCCCCCGCAACGTAATCTGTAGGCAGCGCATGAGCTTACGCTAGTGTGACTCGCGGCACTCAAGGACAAACAGATAAGGGTCTCAGCTGACAGGTACGTATAGTGCGTGGACCTGCAAGAAGACCACACTTTTCTCGGGCCATTATCTCCGTAACCGTTCAACTTTGGACATAGGTGTTTTGGGTTATATCGGCATACTTTAACATAAGGAACACCCTCCCGAAGTTTGGCACATTCCTCCTGGGACACCCTGTATAGTGATGTGGATGGCACAACAGGAAGTAGGGGTCACGTGAACTCTGGGTTTCCACGAGTGATGTCACGTATCCCCACTCCTATCATTACGCAATGCTCGGTAAACACCATTCCCCGCGAGGCTGTGATGTCACGCAACAGGCGAGCCTGTGCAATGACTGTTGCTAGGCAATCAGTAAACACGACGTCAAGCAACAGTGAAGCGATGTGAGTTTTTGCTGTCTGACCGAGGGTTTATAAGAGTTTCTAGAGAGAGAGAGTAACGAGTCAGTTAAAATGTAGCAGTGCCGAAGACAGTTGAATTGTAGTAGTCACCGAGTTCAATTGTAGCGAGTGAATCGTGATACTGTGAAGAGATTTGTGAGTAGGGTTTTTAAAGCATGTAAACCCGCAACATTGTCATAATTAATTGTACTTACGATTTGTAGGTTGTTAAATAAACCAATTAACAATCTGAACGGCATCTTCAGTAGCAAAACACATTACAATATGTTACAGTAAACTCAGTGACTGTGAAATTTATTTATGCATTTGCTAGGACCACATTTCCCTTGTAAAAGTGGGGTCACCTGCAATTCAATCACCATGCCCCTTTCTAGATAAAAACTGGTCTGAGTGCTTGCTAAGTGCCACTGCAAGTTATCCCATACAAAATATTATATTTCAGTATCCTGTTGCAGTGAGGTATCACTCGTTAACTCATTCCCATCTCTAATGCAACACAAACCGTTCACAGTCTTTCCTTTATTTTAAAATTCCATTAAAATCACATTTAATTGCAACATGTTTCGGCCTCACAAGGCCATCTTCAGGCAACTGTTCATTAATTGAAACTGCCACATTGCAACAGTTTGTATGTAAATGCATCCCATGCTGTCGACTCAAGGTAAGGAGGGGGGGGGGTAAGGTATATGGGAAGTGAAAGTAAAGAGAGAGAGAGGGGGGTAACTGTATGTTATGTTTTGGAAGTACTGATTATAACATCATATATGGGGTTGAACATTTCAGTAAAATTGTCATTCAGTTGTAAATTTTGTTTAGTGATTTCATAAATATGAAATCTTTCGTATGTATCTTTTTTAATTTTACATCAACCAATCAGTCGTCATATATTTCTCATACAGTATGGACATTTTCTTTCGTATGATGAGGCACCTCTACTCTGTAAGTACATATATTATATATACTACAGCTTCAATTTAAATATTCAAATAACATATTTAATACTATTCCTTTTTGTATATTTTCAGATTAATTAACCTGCAACATCATGGGCCTCCAATACCATCTTATATTTTTATTTTTTCCACGGAAAGTATAAAGTAAACATATGACTGATCAGATGTTACAAAACATCAATTTTAATCTTGTTTTATATTATAACCTTCAGTTTTATATATAAATGACTGTTGTATTTTTACACAAAAGAATTAACTATTTTTGTCATTGTATCTAATTTTACCACAGTTCAATAGTATATGTGTGTGGATTTGTATTCACCTGATGATGGCCGTTAACGGCCGAAACATGTAGTGAGGCATAACTGGGTATTGACATTGATACTCCTTAATTGTGATGTGATGGAAAAATAAAGTTATATAATATGCAACAGCATGAGATGCACTGACATACGAACTGGTGTGGTGTAACAGTTTAAACGAGTGAACAAATGCCTGAAGATGACCTTGTACATCAGAAATATGCCGCAATCAAATGTGATTTTAATGATATTTTAAAATAAGAGAGAGATTGAACGGTTTGTGTTGCAATAAAGACGGAAATGAGTGAACAAGTTATCCCATGCTATGCTAATGACTCTTTCAAGACTGTATAGCACCAAATCATAGGATGACTAACGAATGGTGAATTGGAAAGTACTTGGAAGAAAGCTGTCATGGTCTAGATGAAGTGCCATATTTGAATTTGCCTGGAGGGAATAAGAAAAACCTTGAAAACTTAAGTCAGAATAGCTGGTGACCTGACCAAGATTCTAAGCAAGCACCTCCTGAACATGTTCAGTTCATCTGTATGGAGACGAAGGTATTCGGACTACTAAGTGGAATATTTAATGTCACAAGAACTAGGATTATTGAACTTGGACAAATTAAGTTGCAGATTCTGATATATTGGGTTTTTGGACTTTATCCATTGTCCTGGTTTTTAAGATAACTAATAAAAACACGACGTTTCGGAAACTGGATCTGTTTCTGTCCTCAGGTGAAGGAAAACACCTATTCTGTTGGGTCCGTTAGAAAGAGCTAGCCTCAATCACTGGACCTGTGATTGAGGCTAGCTCTTTCTAACGGACCCAACAGAATAGGTGTTTTCCTTCACCTGAGGACAGAAACAGATCCAGTTTCCGAAACGTCGTGTTTTTATTAGTTATCTTAAAAACCAGGACAATGGATAAAGTCCAAAAACCCAATATATCAGAATCTGCAACTTAATNTTGCAGATCCTTGGAACACGTAAGTATTTAGCACTTCCAGAGCAGGAGCCATAACAGTATGGGCTACTTCCATCTTTACTGGTAGCTGTAACCTGTAACCCTATGTTTGCAACTTCTGTTCGTCTTTCTGCATAACCAAGGTTTAACTGTATCATCAAGTTAATTCCAGCTGCTACCAAGCTTCTTTGCCAACAGATGGCACATGACTGGCAAAAAGTGAAGCATATTTACAAGACATACCTATCAGTGTGTCAGGACGGCTCAGTTAATATAATGACAGGCTACAGGCTGGACAGCCCAGGTTTGATTCCAGGCAGTGTAAGATTTTTCTCTTCTCCAGTGTCCAGAATGGCTGTGGGACCCAACCAGCCTCCTAACCAATGTGGACTGTGTGCTCTTTCCCCAGGGGAAAAGCTGACCAATCACCTCCATCTAGTGCAAAGGTTAAGAATGGTATAGCTATACTTCCATTTCCCCATATATCTTCATGACATAGTGCTTAACTAATTACGCACAGGGACAACTTTATCAGCTTACCATAAATAAAGGTAAAGCTATCCCTGCAACAGGTCATGAAGGACCATAGGCTTGTGAGATGTCAAGGCTTCCACATTTTCTTTAGATAGTTGGGTCACAGATGTTGGTAAGGCTGTCAGCCTTATGCGCCTGCTGCCCTTTAGCCCCCCCCTCATCAAAATTCATGATAACTCATTTCTGTTAGAGGCTCAGTAGACCCCAGGGCCATAGTGTGGTTGGAAGGAGTAGGTAAATTGAAAAAATCCACCTCATCAGGACTTGAACCTGTAACCTTCTGGCTTGTAGCATAATGCCTCACCTCAACCAACTATACTACCGTGTGCCCCTTACCAACTTACCATATCAACGTGAAATGACCGCAGTAAAAAGGACAAACGTATCAAGTTTGTCAAAAAAATAGTCACCTGGACCTTCCATTTGTATAGTAAGCATGAAATCAAACTCATTAGCAACTGAAAGACTCATTTCTTTTGCATACTTTTTATTTCCAACTTCACACCTACAACCAAAAAATTTATCTCTTCAAAAGGAGAACAACTTTGGTATGGGAAAGTACTAGAACACATTGTCACATGTATAAGTGGCTACTGACAGGGTCTGGATTGGTGACTGGCTTTATTGCACACTTACAGATGGTAACTACAAGTAATTATAATACTCTTGCTAATTTATGCACTCATCTTCTCACTACAGCACATACATCTTCTCAGTTTGTTTTCACCATCAGTTTCCTGGTAACAGATCCTAACAATGTCCTCTGCTTATGTCCATACCGGCTGAGGAATGTGTGACGACTACATTCTAATCTTGTCCTGCTTACAACCCCTTGGCACTGACAATGTAGAAAACACCACTCCTCACTGTGGTAGTTCAATTGCTGCTGTGGGAATGCTTGTCTGCGAAGCTGTTATCCAGCAATGACTGCTGTAAATTTGCTTTTTCTACAGTCATTGCTTATAGTCATTATGTAGCAATGGGTCTACGTGCTACAATAGGTTAACAGACATAAAGTACAATAATATAATACTCAAAAAAAATGGCTGTAGTGTTCCAGTAAATTTGTAAAGCTGGACGTTTGACAGAGGATAGAAAATAGTTAAATGAATACCTCTTTTCACTAAACTAGGTAGACCTAAGGAAAGTCAGAGCTCCAAGTATTCAACAAATAATATATACACCATATAAAAATCATTTACTTCATTATGTCTCTAAGTAGTCATAAGAAAAACACAGAACCAGTATCACATTATACTCTTATAAAAGGACCAAAATAAATAGCATACCTTGGGGTGAGAATGAACATCTGCAATACTGAAACTTTTGTCTTTCCCATAACTCTTCCCACAGGTCAAATATTTCAACACAAATAGGTGCTTGATAAAGTTCAGTCTGCACCTCTATCACTACACACTTCCAGCTGACTCCATTGCTACCTGGCAACACTTTGCCAGGAGACCTGTAAGCTGGAGAAGAGTTGTCATACCATCCACTATTCTCAGGTGAGTCATTCCAATTTCCTGAAGAAAACAAATCATCTTCAAATAAAGCACTCACATTACTTATCAGACTCAGAATACCTGATACTAGAAACATGCTCATTCATAATCACTACCACAACAAAGTTACTCTAAGGACCAGGGTCTCATGATTGTGACAATTACTCTGCAAGCTTGGCAAGTCAGAGGGTGAGATGGATTCAGAAATTGGTTTTGTACCATCCAACCTGAGAGCTGGTGGTCAGAGGGACTCTAGACGTGTGCCATGCCTTGGGCTGGTGCGATATTTTAGGTAGTTTAAAGGCCAGCAAGAGTCATGGTGGCAAATATACCTGACTTCCTCAGTTACCAATCTCTTTTTATATTCATATCTATATTAACTCACAGATTTATTAAAGATGACCACTAAACCATCTTCTAAGCTAGTATAATCCACTTCACATACTCAAAATCCATTTCCCAAAGATCTACTTTAATCCCCTGATGACCTCTTTCAATGGCATCCTCCCTACCCATGAAACTATCATTAAACGGTAGCAATATTAAGCTTTGACGTGTACTGATAAACAAAATGCATTCTTAGGTCAAAGAAAGAGCGCATGCAAGACCGCCATTTGCTGATAACATGAAAAACCAGTGCAATCTAAATGAGCCTTAGACATGGTAAGGCTGAAAAGATCTAACCTCTGGATATACCATGCAGCCCATTAAAAGTCAACCAACATTTCAGAGGAACATGCTGCCTCCATCTACAGAGTGAAGAATAAGCCAAGCAAGAAACCAGCATGAAACAGTCAGGAGCAAGGCAACACGTTCCTCCAAAACACCAGCTGACTTTCACAGATTATGCAGCATTATATCCGGGAAGACACAACTCTTTATAACCTCAAATCCTACATGGTATGTATATTTGGAAAAAGTGGTTGACCATGTCTTGGAAATGATAATGGATTAATATTATCTTGCTGGCTCTGCCCATCTCCCAAGTTCTTTCTCTTCATATCTTGCAACTGATATCTTGTATTAAGATAGTTCAGAACCTTTTTTTATAAATTTTCTTTCACTTTATCATAACTGTAGGAAATAACAGGCACGTATGAGTCTCAAATTTTCAACATCAAACTGTAGAAAGAAATATCTTGATAGATATGTAAATGTTGAGTTTTCATTCAGATAACTACTTTTGCTTTATGCAGTATATCTGACCACCACAATCATACTGGTTGGCAACATTAGCAAAGAATCAGTTTGTTGACAAAATCTCTTTCTCTGTCCACAATGAAAAAGGACATGACCCTATAATGAATCTTTTTAAACACACTAATTTATGAGAATTCTTCATTGAAAAGGGATATCATATCAAAAGAGATAACTAGTACACTTAGCAGCAAATCCCAGAAGATTGTAATAGTAGCCGCAGATTCTAAAGGGTTCTGACGGTGTACAGAACTCAAAATTACTGGATTTTTGGACTACGTTCATTGTCCGATATCCTAAAAACTAGATACCACAACGTTTCAGAACCTGGATCTGTTTCTGGCCTCAGGTAAAAGATTGAGGTTAGCTCCTAAGAAACATAACAGAGTAGGTGTCTTCTGCCTTACCTGAAAACAGAAACAGATTCAGTTGCTCAAACGATGTTTTCTAGTTTTCAGCATAATGGACAATGGACATAGTCCAAAAACCTAGTAGTTCTGATTGTAATATTAATACGCATTACAATGATAACCTACAATCTCTCTTCATTATGGAATAGTTCTGGTAAGGAGCTTTCAGCATCACATTTCAACTCCACACCAAGAAGACATCTAAATGTAGGGTAGAAACTTACACTTACATTATTTAACATGAGTAAAAACTGTGACATAAAACAAGGTAGTCCAGACCATGATAAAAACCCCCTCTTACATTTCAATAACAAAATACTTCCCAATCAAGATACATAATTCTTCCAAAATTAAAAAACTGTGTGGCAGTTGGGAAAATGCTGTACTTTCTTCAATGTCCCTGAAAACTGCATTAAAATGACAGTGTCTGATCTCCAGTGAGGGTTAAAAGGAACACTATTCTGTAGTCCTTCAGTGGCCACAATCTTTTCTATTTGCTACAAGTGACATCTACCTTTATAAAGTCAAGCTTCAATTCCTCTGACATTTGCATAGATTTAGCGACACGGAAAATATTTCCAATGATATCTTCTGCTGCATAGCCAAGTTTCCACAGATGAGCCATTATCTGCAAATGAAAGTTACAATACTATGTACAACAAATTATTCAAAGATAACTACAGAGAATTACTGCTCCAGCAAAACACAAGCTAGACTTTCTCAATGTCTATGTTAATACACAGACTTGCACTGCACAGTATAACCAGACAGCAAAGTTACACCTCCAGGGCTTGATTCAACTGTTACAACATTTGGTATACCTTATAAGCCTTTTCAATGTTTCCATCAATACAGTGTTGCAACATTTCTTTCACTAGAAGTGGATGGGGCTCATCGCATACCTGAAATGAAATAAACACAGATATCAGTATACACAACCAAGTTCGCATAAATTTAAGTTTGTTTCCAGAAACAATCTAATGCAATCCTCACGTTTCATCTGCCAGACCATTTCTATTTCAAGGAACACGTTTTGGTTGTTATTGAACAATCTGAATACTGGGTAGGTTAACCTTTATCAGCCATGCAAGTCAGTTGATAGGAAGTCTATGACCTCTTTGTCAGACTCTATGACATTAAATGGAAATCAAACCAAATAATGAATATGAAAAGTTGAAAAGAGTCAGAAACACAAAAGGAAATTAAAAGATGTGCTTAACCCACACACTATACTACAACTATCAAAGTGAGCGAGTGAGGCTTAGTGGCACAACCAACTAACACTACTTTACCTATGAAGACAACTGAGTGCTACTTTCAGGGCAAAGTGAGGAGCTGCTGTCTCACACTAACAAATAAGTTTATAATTCCTGACCAACAAATGGGGCACATTTTAAACAACAATAAATATGGAATCAGTAAAAAATATTTATTTTTGCTGATTCATACAAAACTCTTTTGAGATGCTGATTTTTAGAGCAAGTAGCTTGCTCAGAAAATTTTTAAGAGTATTCTGGTATGTAGACCTGTTGCTAGGCAGTAGCCTGCAAACAGCAACAGAGGAATGATGTGTTCTGTGTGATCCGTGCGGAGATGTTATAAACAGCACAATACATGAGTGGTACTTAGTGGAGTGCAGTGAGTTGGTTGGTCAGTGAGAAAGAGGACTGCTACAGTTCAGTCCTTGAGAGCTGTTGCTGTTAGAAGTTATTACCAGAAAACTGGCAAAGACACAGCAGACTGAGAAGATTAAAGCGTATGCTGTAGTAAACTGCACAGCATGAATTATCAACAGCACTACAGTTACTTGTAGTTATGAGTTGTGTGTGTAAGTGTTCAAGAAATCCAATTAATAATCCAAACCCTGCCTATAGTCATAACACACATGACAGTATATAATTCATTTGCAATAACCCTGTATAATTATACAGGGACATTTTTAAAGCTATTGACGAGTTCATGGCTCTGTGCTTTGCTGCAACTGGTGCACTACCAGCCACGAAGTGCATGTGAATTCTGTCAATGATGCAGCATGCTTAACAGCTGATAATGTTTGGAATGAAGAAAAATAATTAACTTGTAGACATCTACACAATATTATGTCACATGGTGGACAGTGCAGTTCATGCATGAGAGGTAAGAACTTCCCTTCATTCCAAATGTTATCATCAAAATTCGCGTGCACTTCACAGCCGGCAATGCACTGGTCGTGGTGAAGCGCAGAGATGTGAATGTGTCAAGTTTATTAAAAAAAAAACAACCTGTACAATATTTACTTTGAACACATTCTCACTGCTGACATGCTTGAATCCATTGGATGTGGACTGCAAGTTGTTCAATGCTTGCCGCATGTCACCCTGGGCAGTGAACACTATAGCCTCCAATCCATCTTCTGTGTAAGAAACCTGCAAAAATGATGCACCATTATTTCAAAGATGAGGAACAGTATTCTCTGAACACCTGGTCTTCAAGAGCAGGATGGCTTTCAAGCATACAATTATCCACTGCAAAGGAAACACTTCAGTTAAATTGTTTCCTTTGCTCTGAGTCCAGCCAAGTGCTGGGTCTGTCACAACTGGGGACTGAGGCTGACACTGTGCTTGGTTAGGACTAATGCATATCAGAGAGGCAGTGACAGACAAGTATAAGCACTGTTGGAATGATTCCAGGTAAAACCAAAGCACCCGAACTGAAACCTGTGTCAGAGTCACTTTGTCCACCTCTGATGCAATGGCATGCCCTGTCTTCCTAAGTACGATAAACAATACACATTTCCAGTCCTACAGTACGCTGAATTAAAAATCCAAGACATATGGAACTACAGGCAAGTAAAAAGCCGGGACTACACCGATGACCTATTGAAGTAGCCAGTGACAAGATGTCCACAGAAAAACGCCTGTAATTTGTGGTGCCAGCTGAATTTCAGATGGTGTCACTGATACATCATCCCTGCTCCGCACTAAAATGGCAGGTGACACAAACAGTTATCAGCAGTATATGTGTGAGTGCCTCCAATGTGAGATAACAACTATTAAATAAATAATGCTGTAAATTCACCTGTTCCTTCTGGCAGACCTCAATAACTTTCGCCAAAATTTGAGCATCAGAAAGCCGACCATAACGAATCATGGCACATCTTGATTGAATTGCTTCAATTATTTTCTCACTGTTGTTGCATGCTAAAGCAAATCTTGTTGTACGGCTATACAATTCCATAGTGCGCCTTAGGGCTTGCTGAGCACCTTCTGTCATGCTGTAAAGAAACAAATGCTGCAAACTTTGTACCAGGAACTCTTTAATGATACTTACGGGTTTTAAAAGTTAAACATGAAAATTAAGCACAACTAAGTGAAAATCTGTGCATTAATAAATGCAGAGTATCAAGTTATTGTAGTGAGGAGGGGAGAAGGGTAAACATCACTGGTATCACATAACCTCACTTACTTTCTGTTACTGAGACATATTCAATGATGATGATCTGCACTGCCAAGTGTATCATGAGCATCAGTATTAACAGATTTTCTTCAAAAGAACACCAGCATATGTACATGTTAAAATGTGGGACTTGTATATTTAAGAAACAGGACTACATTACAGCAATTTCAATACAAGGTGTGTCTCAAAAGACNTGGGAGCAAAAAGAAGTCGGCTGGAGCTAGGTCAGTGCTGTAGGGTGACTGCGGCAGCTTGTCCGTCAATAATTTGGGGACCAACTTGGCGCACACCTTTCGCATGTTCAATTCATCCATAACGATGCGATGCACAACAGTTTTTGGAATGTTCAGAGTGTCGGCTAACAACCAGACAGTCATTTGACGGTCAGTATTCAACAAATCACGCACACGAGCCACAGTTTCATCGGTTTGGCTTGTTGATGGCCGTCCAGAGTGGGGGTCATCTTCCACTCCTTCCTGGCCCTCCTTAAACTTCTTCACCCACCTTGTAACTTGCACATATGATAGAGCAGACTCCCTGTAGGCTTGCTTAAGCAGTTCGTGAGTTTTGGCAGCTTTTTTGTTGAGCTTTGTGCAGAACTTGACTGCCCAACGTTGTTTGAAAGTATCCGCCATCTTGCGCCGTGACGCGGTCACAAAACACAGGTGCACTAAATCAGCGATACTGATGCCCCGATGCTCGTGCAGACTGACCTTTGGGCGCGCTGTGAAGCTACAGGCCTCCACCCTAACCCAACCGGTTCCAGCGCGCTACGACCAGTAGGAGCGCGGGAACGAAATATATTTCATGACTTTTGGGACACACTTTGTATCTTGAAACAGAACGAAAATTTGAGTATCTTCTTTCAGCATTACTGCAAATCAAATAAGATCTATAGAACACCATGCAAAATAACACTAACCTGTCTGCTTCATCTAGGATGATAATTTTATGTTTGCCCTGTGGCAATGTAACCTTCTGCTGGGCAAACATTTTGATTCTGTTACGTACGACATCAATACCTCGATCATTTGAAGCATTCAACTCCAGCACCGCAGAACTGAAAGCAGGTCCCAAGAGAATACGAGCCAGACATAAAATTGTTGTCGTCTTGCCTACACCTGGTGGACCCTGTGATATGTAACAAAAATTAAATAGGCTGCAATCAAAAATTTGTTACAACAAAAGGTAAAGTAAAATGTAAAGTTATCCCTATATGCAGGAGCAAGCCCCACCATTCCTAACCTTGGCTTTAGATGGAGGTGAGCATTCAGCTTCATGCCCCTGCTACTTTACTCCCTGGGAAACAGCCCTCAGTACTCACCGTACAGGAGGCTCAGTGGGCCCGAGAGCTGGTCTGGATATTATGGAGAAGAAAAGAATCACTTTTCCTTACAGGCAATTGAAACTTAACTCCCCAGCTGTCCAGCCCCTAGCTTAGTCACTATACTGACCATGCCATCCCAGCTCCCCACAGTACAAAGCAATTCACATATAACCAACAAAACAAAACAGATTACTTACTTTTGGCAACACATACTGCTGGACTCCATCCTGCATTTTGTTAACATTTTTAATGGCAACCACACAAAGGAATGCGCAAATAATCAACAAAACATAATACAGTGCAAATACAGGGCAAAGATGATTTATTTCTTGAAACAGATGCTGCTGTCATCCAACATTTAATTACTGTCTTCAGCGGTGACCATAAGACATTTCTGTGGCGTATCCAAATGTCCCAACCAGAGCCAAAGCTGCGATAATTATAGAAGCCATTCCATACATTACAGTTTTCTAACAAACACAAAATCATTAACGTTTTTATGTTACACATAAAATGGAATAAATCTCTGCCAATTTCATGTTTTTCCAGCTGCAGTGCTGTCTTTCCACCAGAAATTATTCAAATTACATATTTGTGCATTTACTATTCAGAGTTAACATAAACCTGCTAAATAACTTAGCGGGGCTGAGCCCTTCTTGAGGAGCCACCAGCTGTGCAGCTATTCAAGGACTTCCCAGAATTTTATGGAACACAAATATTCATTATCCTATTCACAAGATCCCTCCATTAGTCCCTATCCTGAGCCAGATCAATCCAGTCCATACCACTCAATTCTATTTCTCTAAGATCTATTTTAATATCATCCACCCACCTACATGCTGGTCTTCCTAGAGGTATCTTTCCCGCTGGCTTTCCCACCAATATCCTATATGCATTCCTCTTCACCCCATGTGTGCTACATGCCCTGCCATCTCATCCTCCTCAACTTGATCACTCTAATTATACTTGGCAAAGTGTACAAGTTATGAAGCTCCTCATTATGCAGTTTATTCAACCTCCTGTCACTTCATCTGTCTTCGGTTTAAATATCCTCCTCAGCACCCTGTTCTCAAACACTCTCAGTCCATGTTCCTCCCTTAATGTCAGAGATCAAGTTTCACACTCATACAGAACCACAGGAAAGTAGTTTTGTATAATTCTATGTTTTTAGACAGCATACAAGATGACAAAAGGTTCTGGGCTGAATGGTATCAAGCATTACCTGAATTCAATCTCCTCTTAATTTCCTCCTGAACCAAATTTTGATTTGTTACTGTTGTTCCAAAATATCTGAAGTGTGCCACATTTTCAAAGCATCTGTTAGCTATATTTAAGTCATGATTTTGCAAATAAACCTGCTATAAGAATAAAGTTAAGTATCTGCTACGTTACAGATAAGAAGTAAACTGTTGTTGTCATTCACCCCTCTGTGGCACACTTTGAACTGGGCAGTCTGCAAATGCCATCCTGAATACTCAGAAATGCACATAAGTTGCATTCACAGATAACAATCCATGAACATGAACTCAACATATTCATTAAAAGAAAAATGGATTAAATTACAAAATACCCAGAACACAAACATGTAAACACAATAGTAAAAAGACGAAAATGCCCACACAATTTTTTTTATTCATATTTGCTGTAAGAGGGTTCACATACAAGTGACAGACTGGTCTTTGGAACTGAGCAGTGTTACCACATGCAATGTATACAGTATGGATTGTATCACTTTTTGATCACTAAATTACTCAACATGTCACATGCAGAGGGTATTATAAATAAATAAATATTATTGGAACAGGTGATCAAGTTTCAGTTTCGTTACATATGATTATAACCAGTTCTGTGCAAGTATTTGATATCATGGGTTGTATCTCAGGAGCCCATGTTGACAGAATACTTACACCATATGACAGGTTGCAGATATTTCTAACCTGCTTTCATCTAGCACTTTTCTGAGAACCCACATACCAAGTGTGATCTCATCTCCATAACATTTCTGTCAAGGATGGATCAAGGCATATGAGCTCACTGTTCTTAGTGCATGAAGCATCATTAATGTCACAGGACAGAAGCATTTTTGAAAAATAATAGTCATTTAAATTGCTGAAGAAAGTCACCATGTTTTATGAAAACAAGATCTAGCACTGTGTTCACAAAAGCTCACAAGTCATACCTATCTTGAGCTAAATGGATCTAGTCCACATGTTCCCATATTTTAATATTATTCTCCTACTTACACACAGCTCTTCCGCAAGGGGCCCTAATCTTTTGGGGGATGGGGAAGTAGGTAAAGCTTCCTGTCCTTAACCAATTAAACACTATGCCATGATGACATAAGAGGACCGGATATACAGAACCACATATTGCTTGACCTTGGCACTAGTTGGAGGTGTGGTCAGTTTCATGCCCTGCTCACCCTCCTTGATCTGATTGTCCTAATATAAGGAGATAACCTCAGGGCCTGCTGCAACTCCTTCGACCAGTTCAGTGGGAACGATACGTGCTACTCTCTTTGGATTCATGGAGGCCAACTGTCTATACAAATTATAATTTCTCCAACAATACTGCCTCCTTCCCTCAATTTTCTTCAGCCTTCTCATTACACACTCTAAAATAGCAATAAGCCACCCATTGCCTGCTGGACTTAACAGTGCAGACCATGAGTGAATCTCACCAACAAACAGTTCTAAGTACTGAATTATAATGATACTCCAGAAAATTATTTTTTAAAATAATATATATATATACACCAAACGTTCCTGGCTATCAGACCATAAACATCAGTTTAAAAGTACACAACCACGTAACATGGAAGGGGAAAACAAGAAATGCATTCAGAGTTGTAACAGGAAAACTTTACAGAAAGAGGAAACCTGGAAAACCAAGACATATGGAAGAAAGATTACACAATCTACAAGAAAGACAATTAGGTGACATGATTTGGACTGAGGTACCTAGTATCAGGATCCAGTGATAGCCTATTAATGTGGTGATCATAAACCTTCCATGAAATCAGGATGTCCAAGTATTAAAACAATGCCTGAACAGCAAAACCTTCAACACTTTAAGCACACATAATTAGTCTGTCAGTCTATGTTAATAAATATTCAAATTTACAAACTGTATAACAGAGCATGCTGTAATGGGAGTCAATGTGTTAAACCTTCAGATTTAATAAAACTGGAAACTTTTCTGTAATGCAGAGTTCTGTCTTCTGGGATATGGTACCATGCAGTCCATGGGAAGTCAACCCATGTTTTGGAGGAGTGTATGGCCTCCATCTTCACTGTCGAATTATAAGACAAGCAAGAAACCAGAGTGAAGGCTGGTAGCACACAGAGCCTGCTTTCATACTGGTTTCGTAACTGGCTTATTCTTCTACCCTGAAGATGGTGACATGCTCCTCTGAAATGTTGGTTAATTTTCAACGAACCACACGTTGTTATATCCAAGAAGGCAGAATTCATTATAACCACTGCTGTGAGAGCCTTAAATCCTACATGTGACGCAGACTGCAAACTCATCATCTGTATGAAGAGACTTCAACACTGTACATGGCACATCACAATAATTGTCTCAGTTTCTTCTAGTAAAACATGCAGTGATCAGGTTATGTACAACTTACAGCAATAATGATGTTTGGTACATTTCCAGTATTTGCAAATACTTCAAGTCTTGTGACAGTATCTTCATTTCCAACAATATCCTTAAATGTCTGTGGCCTATACTTTTCTATCCTGTAAAGAGCAATACCGTGAGTCTAATCTCATTATCCTGTGTTTACAAAAAAAGAAAAGTACACACAGCCTCAGTTTTGGCAGCCTCAAAAAATAATCTTTCAAATTATCATGATAAGTGTACACTTAACGCTCAAGCCGGTGTGCAGGATAACTGAAGTCAAAGCTGTTGGTGTGTGTATCCTGGTACAGCAGATGCAAAACAGAATGACACCTGTGCAGCGGTTGATGTCACACAACCATCCCATTAACTAAATGTTTTCTCACAAAAGTATGAACAGCAATACACTTTTACTTCTGTCAGCATAGACCCAGTACACGTCCTGCCTTAAGGGGGGCGGGGGGGAACGAACACACACACACACAAAAACACCCACCATTGCCACATATATTTCTATTTTGTGTCAGACATGGACATGAAACCAGTAATGACAATGGAGTCAGAACAGTAAACTCTGCCATATCAAAAAACCTAACTGTTAAGAGTACAATATTCTCATACTGCAACATTTATAAATACACGACTTCTACCTATGGGAAGATGCATAATCAAACTGATCATGTCTTGACAGATATATGATGGCATGCAAATATGATCTTTCAAAGGAGTTGGCTGTTACCTTGTAATATTTATATTTGCTTGTTAATCTTATATTTAATTTTGACAAAATCTTTTTATGACTGCATGTTCTTTGACTTCCTCTATATCCAATGGTTGTATCAGCCTGGATTAACAGAAATGAAATAAATGAATGAATGAATGAATGTGATGCTTACCATTATTTGGTGATTGCAAAAGTTAGGATGATATTATCAGATAGTAAATGTATGTATGTATTTATTTCATCTCTACAGATGATTGTTACACGATATAGGGCAAGTCAGTTACTGTACATTGGCTGATTACATTAAGAGAATAAAGTTACAATATTTAAAATTGTTTACAATAGTTAAGGTTTCACATAGTGTGAGGTGGAATCAATATTAGGTCCGCTCGGCACGTCGGCTTCCATATGTCCTATTGTGCCTGTACTGGTGATAATGTTTATGGAGAATTTGATGGAATGAGGACTGGCAGGGGAAACCAAAGTACTCGGGGAAAACTTGAATAATGCACTGAATCTGGTATACTTATGAAACCTACATATGCAATCATTTGCCTCATGCACTTCTTGTTCAATGCATTCTAAATCAAGAAGATTCTCCATTTCCAGTGTTTCAACTTTGCTTTAGAACATGCCATTCAGAATGTCCAAGAAAACAAAGAGGTACTTGAAGTGAATGGGGCATACTGGCTTCTGGCTTATGCTGATAATATTAATTTATTAGGCAAAAACATAAATGCCTTTAAAAACCTATGCAAGGTCTATCAGGAAAGTGAAAGTAAACAAATACAGCAAGTGCCAACTTCCCATATCATTAACCACTAAAATTCTGTCCTCACAAACTTCACTAAATTGCACTGATTACATGTATTTTCTTGTTCTTCAACAGCCTCTTTCTAGAAAAATCTACCCTTCCCTCTCCTCCCAAAGGACCTCCTCTAAAATTGTTTTCACATAACTGTTTTGATACTAGAAAGGTGCATGACTGGACAAAGAGGCATTCTTAATCAGACTGTCTGTGATGTTCTGAGCCTGCTAAGTGGATTCTGTAACAGCACCCTCAAAACTGACAACTACTGTTTTTCTCTGTTGCTGAGAAAACTCTGATACTGACAGGCTTGACCAAAAAGTAAATGACAACAATCACAACACAAAATAAAATATACACAAGTTATAAATCAATACAAAAGTTTATTGATCCTCATTCCATCAAAATTCTCCATAAGCATTATCACCAGTACAGGTACAATAGGACATATGGAAGCCGATGTGCCAAGGGGACCTAGTATGGATTCCACCTCACACTATATGAAATCTTAACTATTGTAATCTACTGTAATCTATTGTAAACACTTTTAAGTACTGTAACTTTATTCTCTTATTGTAATCAGCCAATGTACAGTAACTGACTTGTCATGTAACAATGATCTATAGAGATGAAATAAATAAATAGATGAGTTCCTGGTTTACATAAACATGTATTATCGTCTGCACAGGTTATGTACATATGACTGATAATTAAGAAAGCTGAACCAACAGCTCTTTATATGTGATTGGTACCAGTAGGAATGACCACCTTCACATACCTACAACACATTTATCATCCTATCAGAGAGGGGTGTATTATTCAGGTGTCAAGCTATTTAAAACTCTGCCATCAAATATCACAGTTTAAAAAACGATAAAAAGCAATTTAGGTTTGTTTTATGAAATTATTTGCAAAGTAACGTATTTCAATCTGTTGAGCAAGCAAGGGGCTCAAAAGTTAAGAGTTAATAAATGGTCTGTGTGCGTGAATTGTATATTGTTGAGACTTGCTTGTTGTAAATGTGGTAATATGTGTGATGTCTGTTTTTGTTATGAATTGTAATATTTTATAATTGTAACTGTGTTGATGATACGGCTTGCCAGTGTGTGTGTGTGTGTGTGTGTGTGTGTGTGTGTGTGGAATGACAAGGCGTGTGGTTTTTCCGTGACCCATGTGTGTTGTCCTGCCAACTTGAACTATCTGTGAGAGGCCTGATTATATATTTTATATCCAGCCCTACGGGGAGATGATTGGATCCATGAAGTGAAAATAAATGTAAATGAAACTATGGATATGAAAAGAAGCGGAATTTGTCCACAGGGGAGGAACCCCACGTAAAATCTGTCTTAACCAGATTCTACCCTGAGATCTGAAACACGAATCTCCATAAGAGGCTAATCATTATACCGCAAAGTGGGGCAAGTATACAGGTGGCTTAACTTCTGTTTGGATTTGTGAAGATGTACTGGTCTAAAAGCCGCCAAGCGATGCAATGTTGGAACATCCTCTCCCACTACGGACACTCTGTAACACAGCATTTCAGCCTGCTTCTCTATAAAACGGCTCACTCTTTGATAATTTTTACGTTGCATGTAAGAAATGTTTCTCAACAGTGGCTACCGTCAGCGTATGCGTATATACACTCCACTCCCTATGTGTCGAGAACTACCAGTATACCTACAGGTACTATTGGTACCCGGTATTATACTTACCATGGTAGATTATGGTGGCTTTTTCTTACTTCTGCTTGTTGCGTAGTTCCTGCCTTTGATGTGGAAGGTTCACTTTCGCAGATATTTACCTCCATAACCTCCACATATTTATCTTCCGAATCCGCCATACTTCGGTTTTATTTCTGGCGGGAGAAAACACCAATCACAGCTCTTCAAATTAACAACGTTTCTCCCGATATGACGAAGATGAAGCACAAACCGATTCATAATAGTAAAGGTAAGGCAGAGTTGTCCCTACTTAACTAAGGAAGCACTACGCCACGAAGGCATATAGAGGAGTGGATGTATAGACCCAAATTTACTTGAACTCGGCACTAGTTGGAGGTGAGTGGTCAGCTTCACGCCCCGGCCGCTTTACCCCCGGTATCCATTGGATTTGAGGTTGAGTGGGCCCCAGAGCCGGTCTGAACAACGTGAAGTGAAAATTCTTGACACCACTCGGACTCGAACTCCGACCCCTTGGTCATCCAGCCAGAAGCTAGTCGCTATACAGACTGCGCTATCCTGGCTCATTGAATTCATAATAGTAGCTGCAAATAAATAATTTAGTGGTATTTAAATAAGACCAGCAGAAAACGACAGTGGCATTTAAATTGCACCGCAAAGTTTTTTTTGCTATTTTCCTCAGTCTCACTACACATATTCTGATATGACCCTGAAACAAATCATGGCTGCCTCCTTCCAAATCCATACCTGCGCCATAAGGGCATATGTTCATATATGGTTAACCATTCATCATAGTGACAGTAGTGGCTGCATGGTCACAGCAGTAACGGTGTTGAAGTTCCCAGTATGGAGTCTGGGGTTCGAGCCCAGGTCAGGTCATGTGGAATTTGTGGTGGACAAAGTGGCAATAGGACAAGTTTTCTCTGAGTACTTCGGTTTCCTCTGCTACTTCTCATTCCACCAACTGCTCCACATTCATCATTATCTATCATCTGGGGCTGGTACAATAGGCCAATTAGTGGCCAACTACCAAGTGGACTCAGTCTCACCACATCCCAAGAAACTTAAAAAAGAACTGGGGTCAAGCACTTGACCACTGGATCGTTTGTCTGAATCCCATTGAGGACATGAATATATTACATGCCTAAGTCTTTTCTGTATTTGTATTGTCCTATGCAAATAGAAGCTTTGTAACAGGCTGATCTCCCATCAAGGAAGTTCTAATAAAAGTCTATAAATAAGATTCTGCGAATGGGAAGCCTTGGTTTGTCATGCTGCCACACAAGTAAGTGTGGTTAATCACCTGCATTGACAATTTAATTACATTCCAATAAATTTGTCAAAAATATCACTAATTTCACCTCTTTTGTCATTATAACAATTAGAAGAAAATGAAAAATTGTGTGTGATACCTGGATGCAGACCTTGAGGGAAGTTTGTTGGCCTATGGGAAACATATCACGACACTGACATCACTTGGCAATTCATAAATTTTTCTTCAGATACATCTGGAACTTTAGATAACAATGCCTTAGTAGTCTAACTACCTGGCCAACAGAAATAATTATGATGATTCTTGCAGCCAATACATTGTAAATGTTACCATAAATTTACTGTATGTGTATATTGTAGCATGCAGATCCCTTGCTAAGCAAGGACTCATAAACAGCAACAGAGGAACAGTGTTTTATGTGCAGTCCATGCTGAGATGTTATAAGCAGGGCAGCTGGTTAGTTAGTAGGTCAGTTGAGTTGAATTGGTTGGTTGGTGTGTGACTGAGTTAGTCAGTGAGTTACAGAAGTGCTGAGGTTCAGTTGTCGTGAGCTGCTGCCGTAAGAAGCTTGTAGTTGAGGCTGGGAATGGTTTGGGAACATAGAGGAGGGGAACATCCATTGTTGAAAGCTGTTATCAAGCAATGGCTAGTGAAGATGTGACTGTGGACACTAGCGTGTGTGTGTGTGTGTGTGTGGATGTGTGTAATGGTGAATTGTAAAGTGCAGTCACGCCCTGTATCGAAGAGTCAAATAAATTTGATCATCAATCCGAAATTCGTCTATAGTCATACCCCATAAAATGTGTTCTTTTGAATACCAGGTGATGGATAAAGCTCAGAAACCCAGTAATCCCGAGGGCTGATGTTCTTTGTTCATTCAATTTTGTTTCTTGTTGAGTTTGCTGGAATGAATTTGAGAAGGCATACTATCACATATGTATGTGAAATTAACAGGCATGACTGTCTACAAAATATGTGCATAAAATATTTCAATTTACTTGTGTTAATTGCAAAAAAAGATAAGATTTTCCTGCATATGATAATTCTAGTTCTCTAAAACCAAAAGATTATGGAACACCCACAAGATATGTATTATGGCAACATGAAACCCTTGCTTAATAATATTAGCTGACTGACAGAATATATGGCTGTGTTTTATTTTTCTCCTTTCAAAATAATACATAAGTAGAACTTGGGCAGGTCAAAGGTCCAACAGAGGGAGACCTGGAGAAGATATGCAAATTATACAATTGTACATCTGGCCAGAAGGGAACATAGTGGCCTCGTCTTGGGCTCCTGAATGGTTTAATTACAAAACCTGTAAAAAGAACTAAAAAGTGACACCAATATCAGAATTAAAACCCTGTATTATCCTAGCTTGAAGTAAAGGAGATAAGTACAATAGGAGTCATGCACGAAGACTTCAATCTGTTAGGATGTGATGCCATTTAGCCTGATAGAAGTTAACTGAAATATCAGTACATCTTTGCCAGAGTACATGGCATCACATCCCAGCAAAGGACAGTCACTGTTGTGAGACATCAGTCACACATACTTGTATATCATTTAATTTGTTGAGGCTCCAGGAATTTGATATACTTTGAATCGATCAGTGGGTTAATATGAGGGAAAGAAAACATCCATAACATTCTTCTAAAACATATTATATAAATTCTCCATCACACAAAAAATTATACCACTGATAATTTTCCAGCACACCCTTTAAAAGCATCTAATTTGTATCAATTATCCAAGTCAGGGAATATTATAATAAAATAAAGTGACACAAGCACTGACTGGCTTTTGTACAAGAATAAACTGTATAACATCAAAAAGCAATGTTTTTCTGAATACATTACTATATTAACAATATATATAGTGATGAATATTTTTCAGTCAGTGCAAGCAGATATATTTCTATATTTCTGTTCAACCAGACATTTCTGTAAAAAATTATATGAATATAGGTTTTGCTGAGGAATCACGGTTACACATCTTGAATTCTTATGACTGGATAGTGGGCTGACAGATAAAAGGAACAATAGAAAGGTGTGCATGGAGGAATGAATTCCTTCTAGCTATATCTTCATAAGTGCTGGAGTTGAATTCGTTTTGACTAGCCATTCTTAAATATTCAGCCATGTTTAGACATGTATGGATAACATAACATCAAGAAACAGTTTGTATGCCACCTCCTAACTTGACAATTGATCAATAAATGATCTGAAAAATGAGTAACCCTTTTTCAATGAACACAATGAATTTCTGACAGAATGAAACCACACTGCAAAAACAATATGTCAAACTAAGCCTCAGAAATCACTTCTACCAGTGAATAAATCACTGTCCACTGACATTAAACAGTACCACATAATGTTTGATATTCTCTATAAATACAGGGGATGGACAAAAATATGGAAACACCTTGTGAAATGCATGCCTGAATTGAAGTGTTTATTTTAACGACGTTTGTAGGTCACGCTGTCGTATCTGCCCAACACCACTACCCGTAAAACCTCCACAATACGTTGCAAACTTCATTTGTTGTCAAGACAGTGTTCTGTGCAATTTTTTGTGCATCATGTCAGAGCTAACAGAATTCGAATGCAGGCAAATTGTTGGGGCCCATATGGTGGGTGCTTCTGTAACCAAGGTAGCCGAGATTTTTGGTGCTTTGTGAGGCACAGTATCCAAGATTATGACTGCATACAGGAGGATTGAAAAAACTGCATCTGATAAACACCAGTGTGGATGGAAATGTGTGTTGAGTGATCTAGACAGACGAACATTGTGTAGGATTGTGACGGAAAATAAGAAGACTACAGCTGCAAAAGTGACTGCTGAACTGAATGTCACGCTCAAAAACCCTGTCAGCACCAAAACAGTATGAAGGGAACTCCACAAGTAGGGTATTTCTGGACGAGCTGCAATTCCAAAGCCTCTCATCAGTGATCAAAATGCCACTAAGAGGACAGGGTGGTGCTGAAGTCATTAAACCTGGACTGTGGAGCAATGGAAGACGGTCATTTGGTCAGATGAGTCCACCTTCACACTGTTTCCGACTTCTGGCCGAGTTTACATCCCAAGCTTACGATCCAGATTGTTTGCTGTCAAGAGTGAAACATGGCGGGGTTCAATCATGGTATGGGCAGCCATATCGTGGTATTCTGTTGGACCAATCATTACCCTGCAAGGTCACATCACTGCCAATGACTATGTGACCATTTTGGGTGACCAGGTCCATCCCATGGTGTAAACTCTGTTCCCTAATGGTGATGCCATTTACCAAGCCAACAATGCCTGTGTTCACACAGCTCGCATTGTCCAGGACTGGTTTTCCGGGAACGAAGATGAAGTGTCACGTCTGCCATGCCCCCACAATCGCCAGATATCAATATTATTGAGCCTTTGTGGTCTGTTTTGGAGAGCAATCTGCGTGCGCGCTATTCACCTCCATCATCGATAACAGAACTTACCATGTTTTTCAGGAAGAATGGTACAAGATTCCCTTGCAAATCATACAGGACCTCTATTTACCCATTCCAAGGAGACTGCAAGCAGTTCTACAAGTCAGAGGTTGTCCTACACCATATTAGTCATGGTAATGTGTTTTTTGTTGGGTGTTTCCATATTTTTGTCCATCCCCTGTATATTAACTCATGCCACTCTATTTATTGCTTTTTAATTAATATAATTAATTTTCATTTAACAAACGATTTTCAACAAAGCCATTTCTTCCATAAAATGTGAAGTCAGTGTATTTGCCTTACATTTTATGGATGGTAATTCCACGGCCTCTTCACGACCCACATTGTGAACATATGCCTGGAGAGAGAAAATATTACTGAAGCTGAATTTCTGTCTGTCTGAAACTGTAAGATCTGTTAGCACCTGGAACTGACTGCATAATTATTGAAGAATGTAATTATTTTAAAATATTAACATTATATTTTAAGCAATGCTGTTACTGAACATCTTTAACAAAAATATACTTTAAATGTTAAGCAGTGTATACATTTGAGATTATGAGAATTCAAGAAGGTGCCATTTATGAGAAT